TGACCCCATCAGTGCCGACCCAACTACACCACCACGCGCATGCCTCGCGGCGGATATGCGCAGCAGCAAGAAGGTTTCGGTCATCCCTTGAGGGTGAGTCTAGCCCTGCTCGCCAGAAAGACCCCCCCCTTCACTACAACCCATGTCTAAGCAAAAGCTTGTCGAGGAGCGAGGGGAAGAAGGGAGTTGTAGTATTGATGTGCTAACTCGCACAAAAAAGCCGTCGGCTGCGGTGAATCTGTCGTGTAGGCGAACTGCTGTGCACGACTCTGCACAAAAACTTGAATTCTTGGTTGGCGGAGGGTTTGGGTCGCGCGGTCCAGATCCTTGTCAGCCACTCTGCCGTGTTGTTCTGTCGGACTAGGACTTACACAGGCAGCACTACCAGGCATGGAGCTTGCCTGTCTTCTGATGGCGCCGTTGGTGTGGTGTGTGTGAGCGCGTGTGTTCCTCCGCCCCTACCACACATCCACCTTCGACTGGGTACGGAATGTTGAGCGTTCTGTTTCGGTCGGCTGGTCAACCACATGCTCAGTTCAACCATGACGCGTGTCTGGAACAGCGGTTGCCACCCGTGAACTTACCCAGCATGTCTGCACACTTCTGCGGAGAAATCGTCAGGCAGGTGCCACTTTTCCCGTCAAGGCAGGGTATATTTCAAATAAACAGGGTTCACAACAAGAGAAAAGTGGCCATGGCTGGGTATACCCCGGTCCAATCGTGACAAACCAGGGTGAAAACGGAGTTCGGCCAATCACCAAGGCAACACTTGCACTCTGATTGACAGTGAGTACCCGACGCCGTCGCATTTTTGCCAGGGTCGTTTTCCCATAGTCTCCGTCCCACTCCTGTGCTGTGCTGTGCTGTGCTGTGCTGTGCTGTACAGAGCAGGTGAAATTTTTTTTACCTTGCCATCGGTCGTCGGCAAGACCAAGCAAAAGACCAAGCAAGTCCGCCGTTCATCCCGGCCGGGCCCCCGATCACGGCGAACAACCAAGAATACACCAAGTCAAGACGGCAAGGACGACAAGGAGGCAACCAACACCACCACAGAACGAAAGGCGAGAGAGGGGGGTCAAGAGTCGTCTACGTGAATGTAGACTGGCTGACTGCTGCAGTAGAGAGTGTGCGGTCGGTTGTTCGTTGAGATCAAGGCTGGTTTCTCTCGGCAGACTACGTCAAGACGGGGGGGCTAATCATTATTAGTTCTTGGCAGATGTCGATCGAGATGGAGACGGATCTCGGCAAACAAGACGGCTCTCTGCGAACGTACTTGCTCGCACGCAGCTACGATAGTGAGTGTTTGATTCCTTTCTTGCCGTTTGCCCTTGGGGGGGGCGGGGGAGCGCGCCAGGAGGCGAAAGGAAAAAAAGATAAAGGGCCGGCGAGAAACCCGGGGTAGAGATGAGCCCGTGAACCCGCTACTGAAAAGCTAGAGCTCGCATGAAGCCTTCTTTGGGCTTGCAGTGGAAAACCTGACCAGTAGGTTGTAAGAACCACGTTCTACTTCCGACTCGGTAGCATTTGCACGCATGCAGCTCTCGCTTCTCTTTAGAGCAGGGAAGCCGGCTCGTTTGTTATTATTGCACCGACCGAGCGTCGTTTCGGCGTGTAGACTTCCATGCATACATGGATGGTCCATTGTAGAGCAAAGTGCGGCAGCAAGGCTAGCTCTCGCCGGTCGTGGCTCGCAGCGGCTGACCCCCCTCACCCTTTCTTGTTGTCTCCGTCCCACTCTCGTGCTGTGCTGTGCTGTGCTGTACAGAGCACGTGAGGGATTTTCGACCTTGCCATCGGTCGTGGGCAAGACCAAGCAAAAGACCAAGTAAGCCACGCCGTTCGTCCCGGCCACGCCCCCGATCACAGCGAACAACCAAGAATACACCACGTCAACACGGCAAGGACGACAAGAAGGCAGCAAAGAGAAAATCTGTCTGGTTGTCTGTTGGCATGGCTTTCTTTCTGGTTTGTCTGTCTGTCTGACTGTAGTGTCTGTCCGCCTGTCTGTGCGGTTGTCTGTCTTGCTGGTTGTCTGTTTTGTCTGGTTCTCTGTCTGTCTGTCTGTCCACTGTCCGTCTGTGTGTTTGTCTCCCTTTCTCCTTCTCCCGTTCTCCCCCTCCCTTATGTTTGTTTGGTTGTGCTGATGTTCCCCCTCTTGCATCAACCCGCACGCTCCCGCAAGAATGCCACATGTCTCTCGATCGGCTCGATTTCTGCATGACCCCCGTGTTTCATTCTCACGAGCAAGACAACACCCCCTGCACACCGTGCTCGTGGGTCCATTAATTTCGCCCCCGACGCCCCCCCCCGCGCGCCGTGCACACGTGTCTTCTGCATTTCCCTCACGGCCTTCCCACACTCCGATGCCCAACGTCCCCTTCACGCCCGCCCGAACTTGACGACTTGTTCGTGGACGACGTGGGCGGCACCTCAACCTCCATCGAGGCGCCGGCGGCGTCGCGGCGGGCGCGGGCAGGAACGGGGGCTTCGCAAGGGGAGCGGCGAGGGCGTAGGGCGGGGCGGCGGTTGGCGAGAGGGCGGCTCTGGTGGCCAACACGAACCCGGGGTACCACGACCACATGCCGCAGGTCACGCCACGACGGCGCGGGAGCGAGGCTTTCGGGCAGGGGAGTGGGGGTAAATATCGTGAGTAGGAAGCAGCGGTGAGTTCTGTGGCAGCCCAGCTCGTGCGTCCTCCGCCGGCGCCCCGTATAACAAAACATGTGGCGCATGTTGAAGATACGTGCAACAAATTTTGTTTCGTGTGCTCCCGGTTGGTTGTGGTGTACAGGGGTTAGTGGGCTGGGTTTGATTTCGAGTATGTACGAGTGCGGGAGCCGGCAAATGTTATTCGCTTGGGGAGCCAGAAATAGTGCGCACTCTCGCGCTTCCCTGGCGGGCCCGTTGTATAATTCCGTCGCTGTGTTACCTCAAATCCTTTTTCTCTCCCCCGCAGGCCTGGTGGTAGCCAGCGCGCCTTGCTCCCTAGTGATGCTGCCGTTATACTGCTTTTGTTCCTCCCTCACGGTGCTCGACACGCGTTTTGGGCGGCCAACTGGCACGCGAAAAACGGTGTTGTGTTTTGTGTTTGTTTTTCCTTTACTCGATGCAAGCTTCGAAGCTTTTTTGTTGTGTACTTTAGAGAATGAAGGGGCGCGAAGAGTGGGCAGCTGGGGTTTGATAGAGTAGACAACGGCGAAGTGCGTTGAAAACCGTGAGAGGCTGATTGGTGGTGCCTGATTTTTCGTTCGGCTTTGGGTGCGAGATTTGTTCGATTGACTGCTGGGTCCGTACGACCCCTGGCTGCGGCGATAGCCGGCTCGACGACTCGGCCCACCGGCGATGGGAGTGGACTACATACTGCCGTAGATGGGTTGGGTGGAGCGCCGATCTCGTTGTTGGCGGCGTTTGTCTGGCAAGGGTTCTTGCAGGACATTGCCGGAGGTTTTGCAGAGAGAAACCTGTGTTCGATATGATGGTGGTAGGGCGCACATGAGTCGACCCCTCTTCTGCAGTATAATCGGGTGCGATCGTTTGAGCTCAGATACCTCGACAAAGATGCCACCATCAGCAATGCGGATCTTTTTTTGTTGTTGTTTGCTCCGGGGGTTTGTGCAGAAAAATGCCGATTTCCGTCCGAGACAAAATTTTTGGAATTCACTCGCTCTTTTTCAGCAAAAGACACTTGGGGCGTATGAGGCATTCTGTCCTAGAATTTGTACCCTGTGCGAAAGGCGACAGCGAACGTTCCAAAAGGAAACGCCATTCAAAAAGAGCCACCACATCGTCCGTCTCCTGGCTACTGTAGGCTTAGATAGCATGTGGACTATTTAGAATCAGATATTTGATACCAACAGAACGGGTTCCGCGCTATGTAGTCTATTGTTCACGCCGAAATATAGTGCGGGTGCCGGGTATTCCCGCATTATTCAGGGTCCTCTGCTATACGCAAAGCCGCTCTGCCAGTGGTGAAGCAGATCCTCCAGCAAGCTTTGTACCCAAGATACACAAAAAGTGTCAAAACCGTTGACCCCGCCCAAGTCTTCGTTTATGACGACTCTCCTTTCGCGCCGCAACAACCTCAAGGAACACGTGCATCAAACTAATCCCAGACAACTGCAATCATGCCAAGGTGTGGGGTCAAATCAAGGAGCTGAAATCAACAGTCGTAAAGTTCGGCTATCTCAGCCCGACGGAAGGGGTTGAACCTTCTCTCGACTGTATGACCACAGGAGACTTCCGGAGCGACGGTGGGGAGCCGCTAGTGTACAGACTTGCGGGACAGGAGTGATTCTCAGGAAGAGACAACGGTGTGGTCTTCGGGAGAGAGGGCAAGAAGAAGAGTGACAGACGAGGGGTGAAGAGGGGTGTGCACAGCACACCACTCGGTGCTGGTACGTTACCCTTTGATTTTTCTTTGGGCGGGTGTGGGAAGCGTCCTCCTATATTTTTATTTTATTTTTATTTTTTGTATTTTGATCGGTTTCCGAGGGCTCTTTTCTCGAACGGTCGGTGCGATACCTGTTCTTAACTTTCTATCATTTTTGTTTTCTTTTTCCGAGTGGTTTGTACCCTATTTTTGTTCTTTTGTTTTCCCGCGGCGTCGTATGTGCCGGGTTTTGAGACCACGGGCTCCCCATTTTTTGTGGACTATGTTGTTGTTGTCTGCACTTTAAAAACCATCCCGGTCTCTCTATCCAGTACCTCCTTCTGTCTCAATCTCTCCGTACTAATCCAGCACTTGACTCGGTCAATTTCCGTGGTCACAGGCTAACGTACCTAGAAAAGGTATACCAAAATAAAATGGACCCCAAGGGTTAGCAGAGCGATGAAATACAAGAAAACAAAAGAATCAGAAACAAATAAACAAATAAATAGTGGAACGTGCGCACCACCAGCCTGGGGGGTAGCCTTCCGGAAGGACCCCAAGGGTCAACAGTACGTGCCAGTAAAAACAAAACAAAAACGAAACAAACCAAAGACAGACGAGGACATAAACAGACTCGCACAGAGACAGGGATATCCGTAGAGACAGTCTGAACGCGACAGCAA